AAGTGCTGGGGGAGAGAGCGCAACAGCAATTCAGACAGGAACTCACTCTGAGGCACTCTGGGGTCCCCGACCTGACTTGCTGAGGCCTTGGAGATCCCCTTCCTCCCTTTTCTGTTTTCAACTTTCCAGCTGAAGCCCTTACTATGCTGTGAGGTCCCCAGGTCTCCACGACAGGCCCTTTGCCCCACTTCCTCCCCAAGCAGGAGCCCAGCTAAGGGCCTATGCAATCACCTCTCTGGGCAAATTGCCATCGTGTGCCTAGAGGGTGGTGGTGAAAGGTCTAAGGGGACGCCTCAGCAAAGCCTCAGCAAAGAGAGCCCATCTCCAGGACTCAGGCTGGCTACTGGGTAGGCAGGGGGCCTCGTGCTACACCTGGAATGGGTAATCTGACTGGAGGGTTTGGCAGGTACAGAGGAGTTGGCCATGCTGTGTCCTGCTCTTCCCTTGAGTGGCTGCCAAGGCGAGGGACAAGCCATTCTCTGCCTACCTGACCCAACCCCTACTGGGCACCAGGAGAGGGCTGTGAGTTTAGCTCAAGTAGGGGAAAGGGAAGGAGACCAGCCAGGGTAGCTGGAATGGGGCCAGCCTTTCCTTTCTGTCCCTAATCTGTCACTGCGTCTCTAGAAACTATAGTAGCGAAGTCGCTGTCTCCTCTTAGGAAAATATCTTGCCTGTCTCAGCACAGTAGGCAGAGAATCCTGAGCGACCTAGAGGTTGGGAGCAACTATACATACTTGTGAGATTTAGAAAGCCCCTGTCTCCTGTCCCTGGGGCTTGTGGGCAAAAGCTAAAGAGCTGCCTTTAGGCTCTCAGGGATGGGAGCCAGACTAGAACCACCAACCCAGGTGGCCAGGGCCGTACGAGGCCAGTGGTCAGGGCCTTGCCAGCCTCACCTGTGGCAGGATGATAGTTTTTGAGCTGTCAGCTCATACCACCTCCACCTTGCTGCTGACGTCCACACAGGCCACCTGGCCCACTGATGGCTGTGAGACAAAGGGGACAGAGTTAAAGGGGCTCCCTGGAAGGGGTGAGTGCCAGAGTACGTCTGAAGGGCTCTAGTGGTGGGTGGCAGGGGTCAAAGCTGTGACGACGGAGGGACGTGAGCACCTGTAGGTCCCTCTCAATCGCCTCTCAGGATATCTGTCCACACTGCCCATTCCTTGCCTGGAAGTGAAAGCTAAGTGTGGCTTTTCCCAAGTCCCCAGCGATGCCCTTGCACGGGCAGTGCTCTGGCCTCCTTGGCTCTGCACCCCTTCCAGCATGGGGCTTCCCGTCTCCAGAGCTTTGTTCCTGCTTTCTTCCTATCTGCTATCTTGACCCCTCCCAACAGTCCCACGTCTTCTTTAAAGTCCCATAGCAAAGCCTCGTCTGGATGTGGCTGTGCTGTACTTTGTGCTGGTGTGACTTTAGCTTACAATACAGAGCCAAGAAACATAACCGGCAGGGCTCAAGAAGCCCCAATCCTTCTGTAAGCATCTGGGCTCCACTGCCTCCTGGGACACAGAGCTAGACTTTCAGGTCTTTCCTCCTGGAGCCACCTGGTGGCAGTATCAGGGATTGCAGTCACTATCAGGGTGGGAACAGCTACCATAACTTGAACTTGGAAAGGTGTGTATGGGGGGCGGGTACCTCATCCTGCTTGTGTGGAGCTCCATCCTCGGTGTTACCAATGCGGATGACGATGTCAGTTGTACGGACCGAAAGTCAGGGTGGTCAGCAATGTCGTAGACACTCAAATACTCCTCCGATGAGCTGTGGCACAGGGCAGACTAATGTGAGCCAGGGTCTTACCTCTTTCCCCAGAGTCCACCCAGAGGAAGCAGCAGGGTAGCAGGCTCACCTCCACATCGTCCCCGCTGGGCTGCAGCTTAAACCACTTCACCATGCAGGTACAGCCAATGTGGTCCCCAGACTGTACCACACCATAGACAGCAGGGTCTGGGCAGCTCTGGACTAGGGAAACCAGAAGGGACTCAACTAGCTGAGGAGTCCTGGGGTGCCTGCCAGATGCCACATTTAAACTACTCAGGCCTCCCCTGGCCCAGAAAAGAGCTCCCTTCAAAAGGTCTTCCCTGATCCTAAGCCCCATCCCTACTGACCCAGGGTCTCATCCATAGCTGTCCCACTGACCACCCCGATGCCAGCACTACCTCGCTTGTCCACCACAAAGTCTCCAGGGCAGAACTCGTTGTTGTCCAGGTGGTGCACAGGAAAGAGGTCGTTGGAGCAGATGTTGCACTCCACAGAGCCGTCCTGCCACATCATATCAGCCAAGGTCATCGTGGTCACCACCTCCAAGGCGACCCTACCAGGTGAAAGTCCATTAGCCAGGTCACACATATATGTGTCTCTAGGGATAGGGCAGCTGACCTTCTGTTCTTTCCCTCCTGCCTGAGTCTCGCCCCACATAGGTAGAGTGAGAGAGTCTGACAAGTGCCAAGCGCACCTGCACCCCAAATGTGATCCAAGGAAGCCAGCCACTGCCGCCGGCCTAACACCACACTTTCATTCACTGAGACCTATTCTGCACCACCCATCGTCTGGGGATGGGGTGTGCCCCGAGCTGTTACGGTCTGTGAGCTCCTGAGCATGCATGTGAGCCCCAGGTAGGCTCTTTCCTGGCCTCTGACTGGGCACTGGAGGCTGAGGGAACAACCTCTGGATTTACCTGTCCCCTGGCTTGAAGTCACGAGTGATCTTACTCTTCTTCCTCTTGTGTTTCCGCTTTAAGTTCTTGATGGACAAGGGAATACTCTTTTTACGACTTGTGCCACTTCCACTCTGGGAGGAGGTGGTGGAGCTGGCAGAGGAGGTCACCGAGCTGGTGTCATCTGTGTCGTCAGCGGCCTCATCATCTGCATCCTGCTCAGCCAAGTGCAGCCCATCATCTCCACCCTCCTTCAACACGAAAGGGGGCAGTGGTTCGCCTGCCTCCTGAGGCTCCTCTGGACCCTCATCCTGCATCTCCACAGGGCTGGCTGACCCATCTGGTGGCTCCTCAGGGCTCACGGACCCTGCTTCGCTCTTGGCTCTGGCTTCTCCTTTCTTGTCTGGGTCCTCCATGGAATGGTCTCTGGGACACTGGGTGTCTGGGGTGCAAGACATGATCCTCACAACTTGCTTCTTTAACAGGCGCTTCACCTGTAAGGGCAGAGCAGAGAGGACAGGCAACTGTGAAGTGAAGCAGGTGGCAGAGGCCCACTCTGGGCCAGCCTGGCCCCAGGCACCTCTGTCTGGGGGGATTAAAGTTATACAGACCTAAGAGGCCAGCAAGGGTTCTCAGAGGCTGCCCCCCAAGGCCTAAAGCACACTGTCCTTCCTGGCTGTGGAAATGGCTCAAGGCCAGTTCCTCAAAGGCCCACCAACCGCCAACTTCAAGGACATACCTTCTTGGCCATAGAGCCCTCCCCCTGGGCGTAGTTTTTTTCTGGACATTCCCAGGCAATCTTGGCCGGCTCTACCTTGGCTGGGAAGACATACAGACAGCACACAAGGAGGGATCACATTTAGATTAAGGAATGAGGAAAGGAAAGGCAGCACCAGGCGTGGGGTAAGTGGACAGCACTGAGAACAAGGATTTCCTAAGAATTATCTGCCCATACTTACCAACCCCCCCCAACTCAATGAGCAAAGGTCCTGTGCATGTTCATAGCAATCACAATGTCTTCTGTTTATTTAGGGAAAGTGACTAGAGCATACCCTCAACTTTCTACCACGGTAAGTAAGGTCACTTTCCCAGTGAGAACTGGTGTGTTCTATCACATGTCCTGCTTTGCCAGGGGATCCTGGATTCTTAAATGACTCCCTCCCTTCTGAATATTCGGAGGGAATAACCTTTTCCTAGTCTCAAGGCTCTTATAAGTCCTCACATCCTTTCTAGCTACAGAAGAGCACCCCAAGACACCTCTGGAGATAGGCTCACTCCACCTAGACCAGGCAGGCTAAGGGAACCACATTTCTAGAAGTCACCCTGACTCCTTCACTCCTGCCTGTGTTATAGATGTGGGCATTCTCCATTTGGTGAAACTTTCCTTCTCCTTTAGATGATCTGGGTGCTGTCGGCCTCTATACTCCTCCTTGATCAAATCCATGCCTACTCCCAACCCTCTAATTTCTCCCATGTCTCCCCATCATTTTTTTCTGATAACTTCACATACTCTTCTTTACTTTTATGGGGCTTTTGGCTATTCTAACACCCCCTGAAGAGGTAACCCTAAAATCTTTTAAGGATTAGATAGACGGTCCCAAATATCTTCAACATTTTTGGCCTTTGGAATAGAGTATATTGCTAAGAGGCCCAAGGACATTTTGACTTTTAGGCAAGAAACTGGCTACTTTTCTTTGGGGTCTTTTTTACCCTAGGT